TGTGGTTGGAGTTGCTGTTGTTGTTGTTGTTGTTGTTGTTACTTACTGTATAAGATCAAATACGCTCTTTTAATCCGGGTTGTTATGAAAAGTTGATAACAGTCACGCATCCTCTTATTCGTCTTAGCGGGAACGAAATACTAAGTTGTCAAATAATATGTGAGGCATCGTGGTGAAATAAGGCGCTCGTCAAAATAATGAAATCCGGAGAATCAGCATTTATTGTCGGCCAGTTTGGAAATTTTGTCGATTTTTTTTTGCTTTTTGGCGCAACACCTTGAATGTCCTGTCAAAAACACTTTTATGGAAAAACGTTGGTTAAAGGCACAATAAATTTAGATTTGCTGTTTCCTAGGACTCTTTTAAGCTATGGAAGTCACCAAACTTTAGCGGCCAATTTCTCGTTAATTTTACCTCTGAAACCAGGCGACCCCCAACTCCTTCAATTGCAGATATCTCGACTTCTATTCAAGATAAACGAATAATTGTTTTCATCAAAAGCAAGACATATGTACAACCTTTCTCTCTCTTGCCCTTTTTAACTCCCAGTGGAGCACAGGCCATCAACAGCATTTCTCCATGTACAACCTTTAAGATGATATAAATAACTCCATATGCTCAAAACTTGTCGAGCGCCTGATTCCACTACGTCGTTATACATAATAATATTAACTCTTTATCTTCGGCAAGCCACCCTGCGGCTCGCGGTCGGAACTGCTGTGCCGTTGAGCTGCTGACAGCGGCTCGAGCATATTCCTTTATGACGACTTCAACATCAAATTACTTTTCGGCAATTGCCCACAAAACAGGGCTATTTTTTTATCGAGATTCCATGCATTAGACAAAGAACTAGATCTATCGAACTAGCTTCACTTGTTTTGATTTATGACCAATTTTATTACATTTTCGTCATTTTTAGATTTAGTACCAAAAAAAAGGGCCCTGGCGTAGTGGATTTACCCCCTCCCCCCACCCCCCACCCCGCCTCGGAGATAAAGATTTGACATTATCTATCGTAAAATAACGTCATTCTCTTGGAAATAGAGATATTTGGACCGCGATAAAACGCGCAGACACACGCGCAGCTGTAAAGAGCCCTTTTCAAATAAAGGGTTGCAACACGTCCTGGCCTGAAACTGTGCTTGACTTGCCATTTTGACCCCAGAAACCAGCTACGACGTGTACGGCATAATATAACACCGTGTTCACTGTGTCTGTTATGTGTGTTAGATAACCTAGAATTACAAAGTTCTCTCTGCTTAGTGCCTAGTTAGGAGACATTTGAAGATTTAAAAAAACGGGGGCTTTCGTGGCCTAGAGGAAGGTGTTTGCCTCTCATTCAAAGGTCTCGGGTTCCAATTCGGGTATCTACGGAAATCTTCTCTAAAATTGTCTCCTTTCACCTCCTTTCCAGTTTTCTAGCAATGTTCTGTCGTCTGCGTTGGTCTCTACTTTCTTCACCTCTCACCCCTTTACCCCCTCCTCTGGGCTGCTGACTCTTTCTGCAGCATTTCTACTGCCACTCCTTAGCTCCTTCTTGCTGCTGTTCTTCTAGTAGGAAAGATTTACACCTAACCTTCTCGGACAAGGGCGACAAATCTCGAAGGTCCCGTGTGCAAGTTGCGTACCTTAAAAAGATCCATTGGTGTTCTAAAATCGATAAAGGTAGTCTTCGGCCGTCACCCGGGTAAAATTAAAATTTTTCTACCAACTGAAAATATTTAATGTGTCATGCGCGCTCATAATAAATTATGACCTTATACAGTTGCGAGCGCCATTAAACACCCCCCAAAAAAGAAGAAAAAAAGAAGTAGAAAAAAGCCCCCTCAGAAACCAGCTATGTGTATGGAATACTACCATGATTACTACGTAATATTATGTGTGTTGGGTACCCCAGAATTACACAGTTCTACCAGGAACTTCTCGGTGACCGTAAAGATTGTTCTAGTTGAATAGAGGATGCCCATGTTCTCATGACTCATTGGAGCAGAGGAAGATAGGACTAACGCTAACATAACTTAATCAAACGCAATCCCACATCACCACTTATCACCACCGTTATTTCGAAAATCATCATTCCTCTCAAATCAATGACTTACGTGAGATCTATAATCCTTGACTCTCTATCTGTACACTATCAGTCACTATAATACGCGCTTTTTCCTACTAATCAGATGGCGTCAATCTCATATAAATGGGCAAGGGATTTAAAAAAACAACCCAACAAAGTTCAATCTACTCAGTACCTAGTTTTGAGACATCTGAAGTTAGAGAGAGAGAGAGAGAGAGAGAGAGAGAGAGAGAGAGAGAGAGAGAGAGAATTAGAGAGAGGAGGGGCAGATACAGAGACAGAGAGAAGGAGGGGGAAGAGAGAGACAGAGACAGATAGACAGACAGATAGAGAGACAGACACACAGAGAGACCGAGACTCCACAAAGACATACAGAGACAGAGACGGAGACAAAAATTCGAGTATCAACGGCTTGAACTAACATAAAGGTCCCAGTTTATTGATCGAGCTTGCCTTGGTGCGGCAACATTCTGAGGTCACCTCGTGTTTGTCTGTCCGGTGTGGTGGGGAAATTCGTTGGGGTGGGGTTGTTATTTTGGGGGGGTCTTTGAGGGTTTTTTCGGGCGGGGTTGTAAGTGCTGTATGGCGTTCGCTACTGCATAATAAGATCACACGAGGGCGTGGGACACATTAACCATTTTAAGTTGGGAGGAAAATTTTAAATTGTGCCAGGGTGAAGGCCGAAGCCTACTCTTATCGATTTTAGACCACCAAGGTATCTTTAACATGCGCAACTTGCACTGGGGTCTTCCGAGATTTTTAGCCGTTGTCCGAGAAGGTTAGGGGTAGATCTTTCCTACCAGAAGATCAGGGGAGTGGCTGAAAAACAGCAGTAAGAAGAAGCCAAGGAGTAGAAAGGCTGCAGAGAGAGTCAGGAGCTCGGAGGAGGGGGCAAAGGAGGTGAGGGGCTGGGGACAGAAAGTGGAGATGACAACAGACGACAGAACATTGCTAGAGAGCAGGAAAGGAGGTGAAAAGAGACAATTTTAGAGAAGGAAAATTTCGTCGCCATCTGGATTCGAACCCGGGACCTATTGAATGAGATGCGAACACCGTAACCTGTAGGCCACGAGAGCCCCCTTTACCTCTTCCGTGAACTGAACCGAAGGTCTCCCATATTACTATTTACTCTAATTTTTTTTAAAGTTAAGTTTTAGTAGAGGTTTTACGGTGCTCGCAACTGCATAATAAGGTCATATGAGCGCCAAGGGGTGGACGGCAACTGAGAATTCCTTACAGGGAATCGGGCTAATTCTGCTCACCTCTCTAGCTTCAACAGCACAAAGTCTGTTTCGACTATCAAGGCACCCCGAAAATAGTGGGTCACAAGAGTGTGACAAAAATACAGAAAAAGTAGAAGAAAAATGACGAAAGTAAGGATTAGGAAAGAAAAAGCAGCAGTTCCGTGCTGCAGTTCAGGCACAGTTATGAGCATGGCATTGATGAATCAGCCCATTTTCAATTTACGATTCTACTGTGTGTACGAACATATGTGAGGCAGCGTGGTGGAATCAGGCTCTCGTCAAAATAATCAATAATCAAAGTGAAGAAACTTGCATTTTTCTGCAGGTTTGTGAATTTTTATCAAATTTTGTTTTTTGGCTGAACACTTTTCATGCTTATTAAAGAGTTAATTTCTTTGTGGATTTTTCTGAAAAACGTTGATTAAAGGCAAAAAAAAATGTAAATTTTCAGTTACCAAGGACTCTCAAGCTAAGGAAATAACTAATCTTTGGCGACCATTTTCTCCCTAAATTTACCTCTGAAAACAGGTGACCCCCACCTCCTTCATTCTAAAAAATCTCGACTTGTATTCAAGATAAATGGATACTTTTGTTCATCCAAATAAAGACAAGTCAACAAGTTTTAAGATGATACGTCTTACTCTACATGCCCAAAAATTGACGAGAGCCTTATTCCACCACGTGGCCTCACATATTAATGTCTCCTTTTGGGAATGGCCTAAAGACACTTCAGTCAATAGCACCACCCCGGGGGG